AACCACCCAGGTGTCCCTTATGTACTGTTTTTCTATTCCCTATATTGTCTTCAACTTTAACACTTATCATTTCCTTCCTTCTAACTGCTTTGTATTTGGTTGACACTTTTTCCAGTTCCTTAAACTGTAAAGTTAGGCTATTGACTTAAAAATTTTTTATTATTATTTTTTTAACTTTGTTTTCTTTTTTAAGTAATCTCTACAACCAACCTGGAGGGGGAACTCACAACCCCGAGATCAAGAATCACACACTCTACCAACTGAGACAGCCAGGCACTCCTAGCTTATTTCTTTTTTATTGTATAGCTATAAATTTCCCTCTAAGTACTATTTTTTTTTTGGTAACTCATAAATCTTGGTATACTATGATTTTATTTTCAATCTCAAAGTATTTTTTAATTTCTTTTGTAATTTTTTCTTTGTCCCATTGGTTGCGTAAAACTATATTATTTAATTTCCACATATTTGTGAAATTTCCAAATTTCCATCTGTAAATGATTTCAGATCTCATTCTGTATTTTTAGAAGATGCTTTGTATGATTTCAAACTTTTTAAATCTATTGAGACTTACTTTGTGGACTAACATGTGGTTTATCCTGGAGAACATCCCATGTGCACTTGAGAAAAATGTATTTTCAGCTACTGTTTGGTGGATCTACTAGTAACAATATTCTCAGTTTTTGTTTACCTGGGAATGCCAATTTCTCCTTCATTTTAGAGGATGATTTTACCAGATACAGAATTCTTCCTTAGTAGCTCTGTTGTTCTTTTTTTCTCTCTCAGCATTTAGAGTATTTCATCCCACTGCCTTTTGGCTACCCTGGTTTCTGATGATAAATTGCCTTTCAATCTAACCCTAACCCTCATGTGTAATGAGTCACTTCTCTCTTGCTGCTTTCAAGATTCTCTCTTTGCCTTTGGCTTCCAACACTGATTATAATATGAGTCAATGTCAGTCTGCTTGAGTGTATCCTGCTTGGAGTTCTTTGAGATTCTTGCCATTCATCATGTGTACCTTCATGCCATTCATCAAATTTGGGAAATTTTTTTTACCATTATTCTTTTATATATATTTTCTGCCTGTTTCTCCTTCTCATCTTGTACCGAGACTCCTATTTTGAGTATACTGATAATATTTCAAAGTGTCCCACGGGTCTCTTAGGCTCTGTTCAATTTTCTTCATTCTTTTCACTTTCTGTTCCTCAGACATAATATCAGTTGATTCTTTTTTTTTCTCAAATCTGTTGTTGAACCTCTCTGGTGAATTTCCTACTTCAGTTATTACACTTCTCATTCCAGAATTCCTAGTCGTTCCTTTTTATAATTTATCTCTTTACCAATATTCTCAATTTGATAGTCTCTGCCCTTTTCATAGTTTCCTTTAGTTCTTTGTACATGGTTTCCTTTTAGCTTTTTGAGAATACTGATTATAAGTCCAATGTCTGCGCTTCCTCCAGGAATTTTTTATCAATTCCTTTTTCTTCTTTACGGCCCCAAATTTGTTTCTTTGAATGCCTTTTTTGTTGTTGTTAAAACTGGATGTTTTGAATATTATAACACAGGAATGGTGGAAACCAGATTCTACCCCACCCTAGGGTTTGTTGTTGCTGCTTGTTTTATCTGAGTTTATGTGTTTGTGACTTTCTTGAACTAATTTTTCATAATCTATATTCTTTGTTATATATGGCCACTGAGATTTCGGTCCTGTTAGCTTAGTGGCCCTGTAATGACTCAACAAAGATTTCTGTAAATGTGAGATTGTGATTTTTTTTGACTAAGCATTTGCCTGGTTGCTATAAAGTTCTGATTAGTTTCTACAGTTCTAAGAAAGTTGATTCTCACAGGTTTTGCCAAACTATTTGTTTGCTGAGACTTTCTATTTAAACATTTGTTACAGAAGTATTTGTGATTTTTAAAAACATTTTTATAATAGTTACTTTAAAGTCTATCAGATCATTCCTACATCATTGTCCCCTCAGTGTTGGCATCTGTTGATTACTGTTTTCCATGCAAGTTGAGATTTTTATTGTTCTTCCCATACTAATTCTGAATTACATACTGTGTATTTTGAATATTTTTTATAATCTCCTGGGTCTTGTTTATATTCTACAAAGAATGTTGTTTTTGTTTTAGCAGACCATCTGCCTAGTTAAGTTCAGGCTGAAATTTCCACAGTGGGCTGTGGTTCCAATGTCAGTTCAACTTTCAGAGCATTTCTAGTGATCTTCAGATCCTTCCTGCCTGCATGCCACCCAGTGGTTAGTATGTGACCTCTGTGGTGGTCTACTAGTTAATTCAGTTATCATTTATGCTAATTAAGATCAGGTCCATACATTAATGGCTCATGAGTGGGCCCAGAAATTTACAAACAACTTTATGAAGTTGGCGTTAACACACTTCTCCCTTCGTGTAATTTCCTGGAGGCTACCCTTTTTTGGTCTTCCTGCCAGAAATTCTGGACTCTAGTTAATCTTTTATGCTCTTCTACAACTGAGCCTCTGGATACACAGAACTAGTAACCAGCCTTCCATTCTTAAGCCAAAATCACCATCATCATCATTAGCAACAATAGCAGCAGCAGTAAAAGTTCTCCTAACTAACAGAATAAAGTGTCTGGAATTGTAGCAATTGTTAAGACTGGTGTCCCAGAGCAGGATACCTGAAATCTAGCACTTGGTGATCCATGAGAAAAGTGGCCGGCTCTCAATGCATTCACCCTAAAATAAAGGCTCCTGTTGACAGGCTAAGGCTACAAATAATGAGTTATCATGTTTTTGTTGGCTTGTTCTTAAAAGAGGATGGAAAAGAAGTATTTTTAAAAGTCATAATATATTATAAATATAACATGAATATAAATATAGTAAAAATAAACAGAAAAAAAATTACCACAGAGGAAACAGGTAACTGAAAAAAACAGAAGAAAATTTAACATTTCCTATTTAACTATCATGTCAACAAATCAAGAATAGGATACTGTGAAATAGGAATAACCACTAAACAAGGAAAAATCTCTTACAAATTAAAAATATAAAAAATTGCTAAATGAAAGGGCTGGAAGATAAAATCTAAAATATTCTTGAGAAATCAGAACAACAAAAAACAGAGAGACAGAAAATATGAGTTAAAAGAGTCACTACTGTCAATCCAGGACCTTTAATATCTGACTAATAGGAGTTCTAGAAAGAGAGAGGAAAAACAAGGGGGAGATTTATCTAAGAACAGAAAAGAGAAAATGATATGACACACCGATCCTACTAACCTATGGGGAGAATGAGGTAGTCACAGGAGAGGAAGCTGTTAAGGTTATCTCTTCATGTTGGGGCTTCAACTCCATGAGAGAGGAGAAATACACTGGGTAAATGAAGGTAGGCATTAACCATGAATAGAAGGATTCATGTCCTGGTTCCCTAAACCAGCTTGAGACCAGGAAGTCTCCCTTCCCTATAGCATAAGTTCATTTACCTCATCTTCCCAACACTCCAAATGCCACCTTATTAGAGTCAAAGTGGAAAGAAAGGGAAATAACTCAAAGAATGAGGAATTATCCCCCAAAGACTGAGTTACACTTGAAGAAGCTTTAAATGATGGGACTTGATTGAATTATGAATAAGATCTTTTCTTCCCAGGAATATATGGATTGTTTTATCTGAGGATACAAAAGAAAATGATAGCACAGAACTTCCCAGAGTTGCAGGACAAGTGCTGTCTCACTGACAGCATCTAGCAGTTTGAATCATAGAATATCCACACTCCGGTTGTATCATATGAAATTTCACAACATCAAGAATAGAGAAGTTCCCAAAAGCTGTCAGAGAAAAAAAAGTGCCCTATTAAAGAACAAGAGTTAGACAGGTAAAAGACTCAAATGCATACCTTTCTTAGAAAGAGTGAACCAAGAAAGATGACATAAAATCCAGACAGTGGACTGAAATGAAATCCATTGAAATCAGTGACTCTAACCAAGGAGAATAATGAAGGAAAGTTCCAGGATATCAGTGAAGACCTGACTAAGGTAGGAAGATGGAAGGCTTCAGGGAGTAATCCTAGCAAAAGCAGGGACTCCAAAGATTTCTATATTACTCCTAAGAATTTGGAACTCAGGGAGGTGATAAAGGCAGAAAAATAAGGAGAGAAAAGCCATTGAAACAACCCATGGAAAAAGCAAAAAGCTATTCAAGAAAGGAAATGGAATCATAGTATACTACTTTACACTGCTTGGTTGTACATGGAATAATGATATTTACATAATCATGATGATAAACACTGTATTTTCTACTCTTAGAGTCAACTAGTAGAAAAAGCACAAAAAATGCAATTATGGTTGCAACACATACCACAGCTGTTTGCAACTGTGAAAATATAAAGGTTTATAGTAAAAAATACAAGTAACAGCCCAGAGCCAAAAGATAGTGTCTATTGTCTGTTGTGGACAAAATAAAGGGGCAAACTTGAAGAACAGAAAAGTCACCAACAGAAGAACAAAAGTAGTAATTTAACTACACTGGGGGACATGGAGATGGGGCAGGGCATTTGAGCTAAATCCTCATTTGTGAGGGTGAAGTAACGTATTAAGAATAGATAACATCCAAAATTAGTAAATCAAGAAAGAATATGAAAAGTATATTATTTCGAGATATAAACACAAACATCACTTTGTCTCTACTGAGGTGACTGATGTGTTTCCTTCCACGTATTTTGTGTATTTACTAGCAAGTATGCTGGCACGTTGATGTGTACATTTCTCTTCCATATCCTTACCCAAATGGCAGCATGCTATCCATACTATACATACTATTCTCATACCTTGCCTTTTTTATTTAATGATGTTTCTTGCAGATATTTCTGTATTACTACTGAATGTCCTTGTATTTTTAATGGCTGCATATTATTCCATTATTTAGATGCATAATTTATTTAATTGGGTCTGTACAGTCAATTCCCTGGGATGAAAATTAGCCCACCAATACACACATACATGCATACATCTCTGTCATACTTACTCTGAGCTCTTCTGGGCCTGTATAGATTGAAAGCAAGTGTAGAGTACTCGGCCAGTCTAAAAGAAAAAAAAAAGGAAAAAGAAAGAGAAAGAAAGAAAGACAGAAAGAAAGATCACACAGAGAAGGATTACTTTAGTAGATTCAAACCTAATACTCATATCCTTACATGGGTGGTATCCGAAGACCTTCTAGAAGTGGAAGGTTAAAAGGGATTCCGATTTCCATAAAGGATCATGTACATGAAATGGCCTTAATGAAACATCTGTTCATGTGACAGCAGAGAATTTCTTATAAACATGAGGACCAAGAAACCAAGAACCAGAGCATTTGAACAGTTTTGTTGGAAGCTGACAAACTTATCCAAATATTTATAATGACAGTAAATAAATTTATAATGACAAAGCCAAAATCACTTCAATGAAGTATAAACTTCAAGATTACTGTTTCTGGAAAAGAGTGGCTTTATGAACAATATTCATTATTAATATAACTTCTGACCATATAACTAATGTACTAAAGGACAGAGCATACTTGAGATAGTTTTGGCAAAATTCATTCCTACAATGTTAAATGGTAATTTTCTTTTTGTTTGAACTGACACATAGTCAAACCTCTTGACATAAACAAAGAATTCAAACAGAAACACTCTACATAGAAAACTGCTAAGACTAGCCATTGACTGGGCTGTTCAACTTCTCTTAACTTCTCTGAGCTTCTCATCCATCAAATGCAGATAATAATAATCCTCAGGGCGCCTGGGGGGCTCAGTCAGTTAAGCATCCAACTCTTGATTTCAGCTCGGGTCACGATCGCGGGGTGGTAAGATTAAGCCCCGCAATGGGCTCTCTGCTCAGCACGGAGTCTGCTTGAGATTCTCTCTCCCTCTCCCTCTGCCCCTCCCATGCATGCTCTCTTTCTCTCTAAAATAAATACATAAATAATCCTCATCCTCATAGACCCATGGTCAGGGTTAGAGCATGCTTATGTCAAACACCATACAACAGATTGATAAACGGCAGCACCTGTGGCCGTCATTATTATATTATAATTATATAATTATTATTACCATCAAAATTTATACAGAATCTGGCCCCTTTTCATTAGCTCCACTCCTACCACCATGGTCAAATCTCCATCAACTCTTGCCTAGATTACTCCAGTATCTCTCTAACTGGTTTCACAGATGTCATGGATTCCATACTCCCTCCTTCCCTGTGCACCCACCCCCATCCCCCATCCAGTCTACTATCAACACAGTAGCCAGAGAGATCCCATTAAAACGTAAATTCACCCTCCAGTGGCTTCCCAAGTCAGTCAAATCAAAGGCTTCATGAGATCTGGCCCCTGGTTACCTTTCAGACCTCATTGTAGAACGACCAAATGAGTTATTGTCCAAACCAGGATATTTTCAAGAAGGAAAGGTCCTAACCAAATAGGAGACTGGGATAATGGGATAAAACTGGGACTGCCAGAGGCAAACTGGGACATATGGTCATGGTCTTCCTCATTCTGCTGTAGCCACACTGACTTCCTTGATGTCCCCTGAACATGCCACACTCACCTTTCGGTCTTTGCACTGGCTATTTCGTCTGCCTGGAATGCTCTTGCCCCAAGAAATCCACAAGACTTGCTCCCTCACTTTCTTCAGGTCCTGACTCAATGACCCTTCTCATTGAAACCTTCCCTGGCCACCCTATTAAAATTGCAAAAAGATTTTTCTCTATTCTGTGTGTGTGTGCTTACACACACATGCACACACACACACACACACACACACACACACACACACACACACAAATACCTTTGTGTTTTTATCTTCTATGAAACAGGAAAAAATAAGTCCTACAAAGCCTTGATCCATCATCTGGTACATGGCTTGCGTGCGAACATCTGCAAATAAACAAAAATTAAAATCTGCTGTCAATAAACTATATCTCGCAAACACAAAGATTTAAAGATAATAGCAGCATATAGTCCTCCCAGGAGTCAGACTCTACAGGCAGAACAGAGATATATCCTAAGGACAATATGACTGCCAAAGTGTAAACATTTTACTGGGTGAGGGAAGAGTACATTGAGAAGTGTGCAATTAAATAAGAAAAGCAGGATTAATAACTCCTCAGCTGGCCCCCCAAAACTTGATAATTCCTTCCATGAGATTCAAAGAGAAACGAAGGCCCTGAAAGTAGACAAACAGCTTCCTCAAATAAGCCTTTTGATGGACGTTTTTAGGGAAATGCATACATGACAGTTGACAATGAAGAATGGAAATGTAGAAGTATTATGGAGTAAATTCTCATAGAGACTGCAACAGAATTAAAACCAACATTCCAGGGAGCAGAAACAAAATCTCAGTTAAAAGATTACCCCAAACTGAATGGAGGCTAAATTTAAAAATTTGAGGTCTTCAGACCTCATTGTTCATTGTTTATGAAGGATATAAGAAATCAAGTATTACAACAAAATGCTGAAGGGTGTGGACTTATGCCCAGTTACTTTGGCAATATATGTTCCTTTTTTTTTTTAAAGATTTTATTTATTTATTTGACAGGCAGAGATCACAAGTAGGCAGAGAGGCAGGCAGAGAGAGAGGAGGAAGCAGGCCCCCTGCTGAGCAGAGAGCCCGATGTGGGGCTCGATCCCAGGACCCTGAGACCATGACCTGAGCCACCCAAGCGCCTCTGGCAATATATTCTTCAACACTGGGACTTCTCCCCCTTGTCTTCCGAAGTGAACTAAAAAACTTTTTCATCAAATTTGTTTATAATGATTCTAAGGAGTATTAACTTGTAACTTCTAGAGCAGAATGCTTGTTTGGGAAAATGTAATTTGTTACAGTGATTGGTTGGAAGCTTAAACAAAGTTGCAACCTGTATCTGTCACGGGAGCTTGAGCCAATCCAACGCTGGTGGTAGATTACCTAATACGTCACTGTTTGTTGCAGTGCCAATTACCTCAGTCCGGAAGAGCTGAGCAGATCTTAAAATTGTGAGTATAGCTACAGGCACATTTCTCTTTTTCATACACACAAGGACAATAAAGTCTCATGAGATTTATGAAATAACCTACACCATCTAAATCCCTTTCCTTTCTCTTTTGCAAACTATATATAGATAACATTTTGGTAAGTTAACGGTGTGGGTATGACATAACTTCAACTATCTTTTCCTCCACCACACCTACACTTCCTCCTCCATTTCCTATGTTCATAAATAGCATTCCTACTAACCCTGACTCATACAAATAGTTCAAATACTGCCTCCTCTGTCTCTGGTTTCAGATAAGGTGTTTCAACTCTCAGCCTCAGCTCAGTTTCTATCCTTAAGAGCCAAGCACTCCTCATTAACTGAGAAGTGTTTTTAAGGAGTAGAATCATTGTAGTATCAAATGCTACAGAAGACGGCGACATAAAATGTTTACTAGATTTTTCTCTCTGGTTTTTGTTTTTGTTTTTTGGAGGGAGAGCACGCATGTGAATGAGGGAGGGGGAGAGCGAGAGGGGGAGAGACGATCTCAAGCGGACTCCACACTGAGCATGGAGCTTTCACGGGGCTCGATCCCAGGACCCTGAGATCAAGACCTGAGCCAAAACCAAGAGTCGGATGTTCCACTGACTGAGCCCTCCAGGTGCCCCTAATGTTTACTAGATTTTCAACGGATGTCACTGATTACTTTCAGTGGACTGGGAGGCAGACTAGAGCAGGGTGAAGAGTGTAAATGAAAAGTGAGAAATGTCTTTGACCTGAAGGAGAATTGGGATTGGCAAGTATTTTTTTGTTGTGTTTTCTTAAACATGAGGTAAAGCTCCATGAAGGTAGAGGCTATGTTTTTCTCCTTCACTGCTTTATCCCCAGCACCTGGAGGGCTGGACACACAGTAGATGCTCAATTTATTTCTTGAAGGAACAAATAAATGATGGGGAAAATCCAGTACAATGGAAAGGGATATAGATGTTGGAGAAAGAAGCACAATGAAGACTGTAAGGTTCTTCAAGTCACAGGAAGCCAAGATTAAGAGCCAGAATGGAAGGATGTCTATTAGCTAAGAGGAGGGAAAAGGAGAAGATGAGCCCAGTGATAAGTAGGTGAGTAAAGAGAAATGGAGAAAATTCCTTTCTAATGACTCCCATTTCCTTTATTAAAGTAGGCATCAGGGGCGCCTGATCAGCGGGGAGCGGGCTTCTCCCTCTGCCTGCTGCTCCCCGTGCTTGCGCTCTCTCTCTTCTTGTCTCTCCGTCAAATAAATAAGTAAAATCTTTAAAATAAATAAATAAAGTAGGAAGCAGTATTATCTGCTGAATGTGAAAGAGGAAGTGAGTTCAGAGGTTTGGGAATGACAAAAAAGCTAAGGAACTGATCCATGTCGAACTAAAAGGACATGATACTAGATGCCATGCATGATCTGAGAACCGGCTCTGGACTGGAAAGGAAAAACTGCTACAAAGGACAGAATTGGGAGAATTGGCCAAATGTGAGTAAGTTCTGTAGATTACATAAAAGGATGCTATCAATGTCAACTTTCCTGATGCTGGTAATTGCACGGTGGTTATGGAAGTAAATATCCTTGTTCTTGAGAAATATACAATTTAGTATTTAGGGATAAAGGAGCATCATGTCTACAACTTACTCTCAAGTTGTGTCTATAGAGAAAATGATAAAGCAAATGTGGCAAACGGTTAACAATTATTGAATGCGGTTCTTTATGCTGTTTTTGCAATTTTTCTGTAAGTCAGAAATCCTTTAATAATCAAGTTCTAAAACATTAGCAGGTATGTTTGACCCACATCACCCTTACCTTTGTTCATGTACTTTATATCCCTACTCCTTCATGGCAAAACCCAATCCAAAGCCAAAAGACTCACATTATACTCTTCAAGGAGTAAGATCCTGGAAGTGGGTTATCAAGTTCTGCTCCAAACTAGTTTCCACTTTATTCCCTACTTATAAAACTTTGTCCTTTGCACATCTTATTGCTATGGGGGGGGGACATAATTTAACATTGTTGGAGTTTGTGCCTTTCATTACAGAATGTTCTCTCGCCCCTTTGCTAATGATGTAACTGTGACTTTTCTTTTCTCTATAGAGCTAACCTAGCCTGTTACTCTTTTAGGTTTAAAGCTTATCTTTTTTTTTTTTTTCTAAATTTAAAGTCTAAGTTTAAAGCTGTCCTTATTTTTTTTTTAATTTAAATTCAATTAATTAACACATAATGTATTATTTGCCCCAGGGGCACAGGTCTGTGAATCATCAGGCTTACACACTCCACAGCGCTCACATAGCACATGCCCTCCCCAATGTCCATCCCCCAGCCACCCCGTCCCTCTCCCGCCCCAACCAACCTCAGTTTGCTTCCTGAGATTAAGTTTCTTATGGTTGTCTCCCTCTCTGTAAAGCTTATCTTTAATGACATTTTCTTCTTGTTTCATTTCTTAGTCCTAAGGCTTTTATTTTACATTTGCTGCTTTAACTTGCTGGTGCAAATGCTCTTTATGTCTTCCTTATTGTAGTTACTCTTTATTTCCCCTTTAGTATTTTAACTGTTTTTCTTCCTCACAAAATCATAAGGTCCAAACCAGCAGAAACTGTGACCACATTGTTGCATCCATTATAAATTTGTTGGCTAATCACTTTTCACTCCTTCTCACTTGCCATTCCTATTACACATAATTCCTGTACACACTTTAAATCATCACTCATGTTTTTTCCCAAGACTTGCTAACATGGGGCACCGGTTTGACTCGATTCTTCAACAGCCATTTGGAGATGAGCTATGTATCTTTGTAGCTACACGATTCCTCAGGCTCTGGAAGTCCACACCAATCTAGCCATTGTGAAGAGCAGTTCAGTTGGGAGAGGATTTTTTCTTTAGTTTTATCTATAGTTTGGAGATCTTCCAGTGTTGTCTGCCCTTCAACTTTTTTTTAAGATTTTATTTATTTGTTAGAGAGAGAGAGAGCGAGCACAAGCAGGCAGAGCGGCAGCAGGCAGAGGCAGAGCGAGAAGCAGGCTCCCTGTCGAGCAAGGAGCCCGATGCGGGGCTCGATCCCAGGACCCTGGGATAACGATCCGAGCCGAGGGCAGTGGCTTAACCCACTGAGCCGCCCCAGCACCCCATGCCCTTCAACTTTAGATATTCAGTCATGCTCTCTCCACATTGAGTTGTACAGATAAATGCTTTGCTACTGTGCTAAGCATGGGACAGAACGTCTTATACAGGATTTCACATATTCTGATTTTCTGTCAGTGAGGAAACCGTGGCACAGAGAGTTAAAAGATCTTCTCAACCTGTAAAGGACTGAAAAGAGATTCTAGCACACCTGTTCCCTGACAGAACATAAAGCTGCTGTAAGAACTCTCTGAGCTTTCCATTTTGTTCTTTATTCCCTTTCCTTACCCAGTTAGGTGTTACTATTTTTTTCAATGTAAGATCTCAATGCTCTAGTCTCCAAATTTATTTTGTGTTAAATTATTTTCCTTTGGCTTCTTAATCATCGCATTATTTACAGCTGAAGAAAACATCCAGAGACTGATAAAGTTTTTTTCCCAAGTTCTTAAGAGTTTCTTTTTTTGCCAGAAAATTCTCCATTGTACTCATTACCATAGTGACAATATCGTTCAGGAATAAATACACTCCAACCTTCCTTTCATTGGTGCTTGGTACTTACTTCTCTCTGGCTATGCTACTACCATGGGAGAAATTTGAGGCAAATCTGATTTTAGTGTTAATGGTGGCAGGAAAAAAAATGCTATTATTTTGAGTAAAAGTTAGATAAAACCAAACACTGAATTTATTCAGTGATATTAAGGTTTTACAGGAATATATTCACAGCTATAAAAACAACACTTATTAGGACATTAGTGAGCTGAAGAATTTGAATAAGGTCAGTAACTTAAATAATAATACTATTTTAATATTAATTTCTCAATTTTCATAAATACACTGTAATTATGTAAGAGAATGTCCTTGCATTTAGGAAATTCATACCAAACATTATTCAGGAGTTAAGGTGAATACTGGCTGTGACTTATTTTCAAATAACTTCAGATAAAACATACACACACAAACATAGAACAGAAGAAAATGTGGCAAATCTGGGGTGAGAGATTCGGGAATTCTTTGTACTATTTTATCAACTTTAAGTTTGAAACATAGGTTTAAGAACACCTCTATTGTTACTGCAAGCTCCACTTTAATCTTTTTTCTTTTCCAATTGAAAAAACTCTCTTGATGATATATTTTTTGTTGACACAAGATATCCTAGGCATGTCACTCTTAATGTTAGCCACAGGTCAGGTAAATTTCTGTCAGCAAGAAACAGAGCAAGTCTATTCGCTCCCTTACTCTGTACCAGTATTTAACTGGGACTACACACCAGAATTCTTTGAGGAGTATATTATGAAAAGAACATACCCGCCTAGGACCTACTCCCAGAGGTTACTATAGCAGGCCCAGGTGGGAAAGATGAGTTTAAGACAGGTGCATCTCACAGCAGCTCTCCCACGTGATCCTGGGAGGCCTCCCTCCCCACCCACCACTCTTGACACAGAGGACCACTCATCTGTCATTATAGTCCGACACTGGCACAAGCCCCTAGACTGGAAAAAGAACACCACAGTGAAAAGTGAACTTAACCCATGTAAGCCTCAGGTTACCCATCAGTACACTGTGGGGAGTATCTCTAACTCATGGCTGCTGTGAGGACTGGAGGAGAAAACATTCACGAACCATTAGCAAACAGTTACATGCCGAACAATGTTAGCTCACTCTCCCTAAGCGAAGTTACTCTACTTCTCTCACGAAGTCAGGCAGAAACAACAACAAAATGACCAGCACTCAGAAAAGTGGTAAAGATAAAAAGAGAGAAAACCATTTTGTTACGCCGTACGGATTACTGGGATGAGGAGGTAGGCTGAGAGCCTCAACAGCTAGGAAGGAATATGTGTGAAACCTGAGTTTTGTAAATCTCACCCCTCACCCCTTCGAGTCTTCTGAATGGGAGTGTACTAGACGGAGGTGTTCAGCAGTCACCAAGTTTCAGTGACAATTTAATGTTTTTTTATGTCAGCCAACTGTCAGGCTCTAGTTAGTAATGGTGTCTGGAAGACATTGAAAATGGGGTGCAGAAAGTATAGCTCTATTAAAAATAGTATGACATAAATCATTACTTTTAAAACATAGCAAAATAAAAACAAGGGCACCTGTTTAAGGATAATTAAAGTATGATTTAAAATAACCATCATTCATGTAACAGAGAAAGATGATACTGATTTCTAAGAACAACAAACATGGGGCGCCTGGGTGGCTCAGTCGGTTGAGCATCTGTCTTCGGCTCAGGTCATGATCTCAGGGGCCTGGGATCGGGCCCCACAGGAGCCTCCCCGCTCAGCCGGGAGTCTGCTTCCTCCTCTCTCTGCTTCTCCCTCTCCCTTGGCCCCTCCCCACCGCTTGTTCTCTCTCAAGTAAAAAAATGAAATCTTTAAAAATAAATACATAAAATAAATAAAAATAACAAACAATACAAGATTATAATACTTACCAACATGTGAAGGCCAAACAGTTATATGAGGATGGGAATGATACCAGCCCACAACTCTCATGGGACGACCTGTTAGTTCAGCCAACCTGTGTGTCTGTCAAGGGATTTTCAACTTGTGGGGAAAAAAAATCTGTGATGCTAATGAGGGCTCAGAAAGCATCCTGAGGTTTTAAATAAACCTATTACAACTTAACGTCAACAAAAGAACGAAATAAGGTCAATACCCAGACTTTCCCAGACCTCCCATTTAAAGCCAAAGGTATTTCTTTTTATAACTAGGATCAATTTAGGGCACCTGGCTGCCTCAGTTGGTAGAGCGTGCAACTTTTTTTTTTTTAGATTTTATTTATTGGACAGAGAGACAGAGATCACAAGTAGACAGAGGGACAGGCAAAGGGAGAGGGAGAAGCAGGCTCTCTGCTGAGCAGGGAGCCTGATGTGGGGCTCAATCCCAGGACCGTGGAATTATGACCTGAGCCGAAGGCAGCCGCTTAACCAACTGAGCCACCCAGGCACCACAGCATGTAACCCTTGATCTCAGGGTTATGAGTTTGAGCCCCAGGTTGAGTATAGAGGTTACTTTAAAAATTAATTAATCAGTTAAAATAAAAAAAATAGAATCCATCTGGCTTCCATTAAGGTATATAGTTATATCCTCTTAATCCATTTAGCCAATGTTTGATCAGGTAAAAAATTCATTTGATTTCTCTCTGGCAGCCTGCCAGCGTCAACGATAGCAACTGGGATGGTTTCAGACACCAAATGACCAGAGACCCACTTTGGTCTCCCCATGTGTCTCGAAGTACACCACCAAAGAATATTTTCTTCTTTTGATCCGGAAACAAAATGTTCCCATAACTCTACCTGAGGCTCTGAGTTGAGATAAGAAGCTGCCCCTTCTGCTGCTCTTGTGAGACGCTGGTTTGTTTCCCTGCAAATTACTTACATTAAAACGCAATGATCGAAAAAAAAAACAAAAACCAAAACTGCAATAATCCTTTCTGTACAGCAAATCCTAAGAATACTTTCTAAATAATTTTTTCGAATGCCGAAAGAGGTTACTTAACCTCTCTAAACCCATTCCTTCAGCTTGCAGACTGGGGAAATTCTGCTTCAAACAGCAGTAAAGAGTAAATGAGGTAATCCATGCAAGACGTTTCATAAACGCTTAAGAAATTGTCATTGTAACTTCCAAGTGCGGTAACACGCAACAGTGTTTCCAGCCACCCCCCATCTTAGGACTGGACTAGTTTCATTTTGAAGTTGTAATATATAATCACAATAATAACAATAATACGATTATATTCTGGGAGATGGAGAATAGATTAGAGGCTGCCAGGGGCTAGAGCAGGGGTTGAGGGAGTGGGTGTGATTTCTACAGGGGCATCTTCGTAGATCTACACAGATCTACATAGATCTTCATGGTGATGGAACAATTCTGCAATCCTGACTACTGTGTTGGTCACATATATTAACACATGTGACAAAATGGCAATGGAATGACACACATTGTATCAATGTCAGTTTTCTGGTTTCCATATTGTACCGTCAATTATTTAAGATGTAGCATTTGGGGGAAACTGGGTCAAGGGTACAAGAACCCTGCTATACTATTTTTGTAACTTCCCAGGAATCTGTAATTCTGTCAAAATAGAGTTTGAAAAGAAGATGCACAAAGTACATGCTGTAAGACACTGATACATGTGATTATATAAAAAATGTGAAACTAATTTGATTGGAGAAATATACACACACTATGAATAAGCTGAGTAGAATCATTATCCTTATCACGAAGGGGTAATTTCCTTAACACAGAGTGCCTACAAATTATTAAGGAAAAGATTTCTAAAGCAATAGAAAGATGGGCAAAGAAATGACCAGATAATTCTGAAAAAAATAAATGATTCTTAAAAATTAAAAGCTGACCACATTTACTCATAATTAGAAAAATACTAACTAAAATGACAAGAAATAAGATAAAGTTTTTTGCTAATCAGATTGGCAAAAATCGATAGCTTTGATATACCCTGGCCTGGGAGCACAGAAACAGAAACTTGTGATAACCCACAGTGTTTACGAAGGTGCAGGGCACCAGGCACCCCTGAATACCGCCAGAGAAAAAGCTGGCTAAGCAGCTACAGCTACAAGCACACACAACCTTTGCTTCAGCAGCTCCAGCTCTCGGACCAGACCGTACAGATCCAAGTGCGCGTCTGTGAACTGCGGGTAAGGTGTAAGGTTACACGGTAGCAGAGGAAAGGGCTCCTGCCAACCTAAACACATGCACGAGGACAAAGCAGTCATCCAGGGCTATATTCTGCACCTCTAAGTACAATGTGAACAACTGTCTGGATACACACTGTTAAGCAAAGTCATGAGCTGTTATATATTAGTTTTTTTTTTAATAGAAAATATTCGTGTACATTTCCGTATGCTCAGAATTCAACAGTAGGGGATACATGAAAACCTGATAACCCTAGTTATGTCCAGGGACAGACCATGAGAGAACTGAGGCATTGAGGTTGGAGAGAAACACTTACTTTGTACATGTTTTTGTACCTTTTAAAGTTTGTACTAAGCATGTGAACTGCCTATTTTTAAAAGTTACTTTTAATTGACAAGATAAACTTAATAATAAAAAACACTGAATTACTAAAAGCCACTGATGCAAATTTAACTTTCTATAGCTGAGGTATGGAGTCCCGATCATAGGAAGCAAAAGTCTTATTTGATACTTTTTTTGGTTATATTTAACATGGAACATTGCATTCGGTTTTTAGCAATGCATTTTTTGGAGAGGCAGCCTCAAAAGGAAATCTCTCCAAAGTATGGAGACCAAGATCATCAAAGGCCTAGAAATGAAATCATATTAGGAAAACTTGGGAGGGGGACAGAGGGAACTAGAGAGGGGCAGTGGGGGAATGAAAGGAAGGAGGAGGGAACTCCCCCATAAAGTTCATTGTCACAGGTTTGACCTTGGGATCTTCCCGCATTTAAGAGCAGGAACGTTAGAAATTTCTAATTTTTCTAATAAGAGCCACTCAAAAGGAAAAATGGGAAGAAAATCTGATTAATCAAACAACTGGACCTGACGGGTAAATAGGAAAACTGGGAAAGAGTCACCAGGAAGAAAACCTGCGAAATTTCCACCTGCGAAATTTCCACAAGCAGGCTAAGGCGGCAAACAGAGGAGCCTGGCCCAGAAGCCCCAGAGCACGTAAAAACTTCTTATTGACTAGTAAGGATATCTCTGCCTCTGTTGAGGCTGCAGACAGCTGCTCTGGAGAAATTTCCACTCGGTCCTTCCTCTTGTCAGAACGTCGCAAGATGATGACAGAATGAATGTGAACAATTCTGATGGTGTCAACCTAGAGGAAAATCCACAGAAATGTTTACTTCTGTCTTTCTCCAATAACACGTGTACTGTATTATATTATCAGGTTAAAAACTGCATTTAGAAAACTTGATTTTGTCATGAATAATAGAATACGTCAAATAGAAGACATTTGGATGAAGGAACAGTGTTCTGAATGTTAACTAATAACCATTTGATTTACAACTATGTGCAGGATACTCTCACAGAAAAGAACACGAGTCAGAGTCTGACAATCCACGGCTGACAATCAGAGGCTGACATCCAAGTATTCAAAATGCTATCAGTCTGCTTAAGCAGCAAGTATCATACACGAAATTATAATGAAATCATGTAGTAGAGCTTAGAGGAAAGGAGTCACTTCGATTAGGAAAAAACTTGTCACGGGCCACCAAGTGTACTATTTCCTGGTTGCTCTGAGTGTGTGTGCGTGTGTACAAACACACAGAATTTCTGTAGGTGCTAAATTGATATAAGTAAGATGTCTGGGAGACATGTTGGCCAACTGCTTTAAGTACAGAACTTGAGATGGAATGGCAGACAGTAAGACCAAGAAAGATCAGGATAAAAATGTATGGGGCCTCGACACCATGATCGGCAGGATGCACAGGAAGGAAGGGTACTGTTTTAGACAGCCTGGATGTGAAGTAATGACAAAATACTGGGCTAAGTGGATGGAAGAGACAGAAGAAACAGATTTGAGATTCATTAAGAAGGAAGAATCCACAAGATTTGGTAACTAATGGCCCATGGGTGATAGAGGACAGGAAGTTGATAAGGATAACCTCTAAAATTACAAGGTTGAATCTCAGTGGAACACAGGAGGCAGATCTAAGTTTAAAAAGGATCAGGAGGGAAGGAAATGAGCTGATCTACGATAAGAAGATGTAAATAAGAGTCAAGGAATAGAGCAGGGAGAGGGAGCAGGGGTCTAGGCCCGAATTAACGGGGGTTCCCATGTTTCAGATGAGGCAGACCAAGAAGAGCCAAAAAGGAAGACAGAGGAGTGAAAATCAGAAGTATGAGATGGTTTACAAGTTTCATGGGAAAACACAGGTGTGGCATTGGCAGATGTGAAATCACAGAGGAGACTCATGAAGTCAGCAGCCATTAGGCACATGTGGTCAGCTTTTTGCCTTTTTCCACCAAGTGAAGTCTTTCACAGCTTCAAATTCCCTGCTCACTCTCCCCTCCCGTACGACTGTTTTTATAATACACACATGTCTCACTATAGTTTATCGCATGTTGACGTAATTTTCTCCTCTACTAGAACATAAGCTTCGGAAGGGCAGGCAAGGAGCATGTTTTAGTTATATTTTTATCCCCATCAAGGGTACAGTGTCTGGCAGAGTACACAATAAAGAAAATCAAAAGCAAAGATAGAAAGACCCTTGACCTCCCAAGGAGCAACAGGACAAAAAGCTGAGTTTTCAACAGAAACCATGAAAGCCTAGAGAGGATGTAGTGACATATTAAGTGCATGAAGACAAGATCCACCAACCAAGAATTCTATATTCTAAGGTTCTAGCATTATTAGGGAAATGTTATCAGGAAATAGTTATCAGGAAAATGAACAAATCAGGAATGCATACTGAAATATGCAGCATAAGCACTAAAAGGAAAGTGAAAAAAAATGTTGCAACTGGGAGGCTCAAAGTGAGATAATAAAGCATATCTGATTGACTCAAAAGGCAAGAAAAAGAGAAAAAGCAAACAAGCGGATCTAATACAAAGCAAAAAGATAAATGTAATTGGAGTGTCATCAGACTAGATTTTTATTTTTTTTATTTTTTTGTAAAGATTTTATTTATTTATTTGTCAGAGAGAGAGAGGGAGAGAGAGCAAGCACAGGCAGACAGAATGGCAGGCAGAGGCAGAGGGAGAAGCAGGCTCCCTGACGAGCAAGGAGCCCGATGTGGGACTCGATCCCAGGACGCTGGGATCATGACCCGAGCCGAAGGCAGCTGCTTAACCAACTGAGCCACCCAGGCGTCCCCAGACTAGATTTTTAAAAAACTAAATGCTGCTAATAAGAAACACACACTTTAAATACCAGTATACAAAAAGACCAAAAATAAAAGGATGGCAAAGATATGCCATGACAACATCTACTAAAAAGATAAGATCACTGAATTCATGAAGTTTAGTATCTATTTGACCAGTACAAATCAATACAGAATTCCAGATGAGGGCATGGACTCCTGAAAAATAAAATTACATCATTAAGACTGGCAATGTATTTTAGTAGGAGTTGATGCCCAGGGTGACTTTTTTCTCTCTCTGTTGTAAGATAAGATTTCAGTGCCTAGAGGAAGGAGGAAAAGAAGTTCAGGATAGGATAACAAGACCAGCCCAGACACAGATGAAAAACAAAATAAGACAAGTATAAATAAAGGCCACAAAGGACTCACAGATGTCCCTGAAAGCCACTGGTAGCTGACAGGCTTGAGGGTTAGGGTTAGGGTTAAGGTTAGGGTTAGGAATAACCCTAACCCTAACCCTGTTACAGTCATAGTCACATAAAATATTCCAGTTTAGCTAGACTGGCCCCATGCCTTTTCAGTCTTGGAATTCAAGTACTAAAACCCAGTTGCTTTTGCTCCTCTGTCTTGGTATAGAACAAGGGCTAGCAAAGTCTGGCCTGCCCAGCCTCCCTTGGGCAAAATCCGGCCACGTTTGTTCATTTATGTATTGTAGCTAAGTAACTGCAACAAAGAATGTATTTACCATCAGGCCCTTTATAGGAACTTGAGGCCCCTGGCATGCCTCTCCATGGCTCATGGGCAGGTAAACACTAATTTCCTATTTTACGGAATGTATGTTCATTCGTACAACACCTATTTATTGACTATATACTTGTACGTAAGGCACTGCATGAGAGCCTAAGTACAGAAAGATGAACAGGATATAGTAGTCATGTCCAGGAAGAGAGACAGGTGAACAGCTCTAGGACAGCACACATGTATTGTGACAGACATGCTCAAGGAGCAGTCAGAGCACAAAGGACTCTTTCTAACCTAGCCTACGGGTCAGGGCAGATTCCTTAAAGGAGACAGGCGGTAGCTGCAAGGGGTAAGGAGTTAACCAAGCAGAGGAGAGGGAAGCAGTCCAAGCATAAAATCCAGCAGAAACACGGAATGGAACAGTACAACATAACCTGGAAAATGCCGTAATTTACCATGGTTAGAAGTTGGAGATAAACAGAAATGATATCAAGAAGGCCCTGAATGCTTAACTAGTGGAGCTTCATCCTAAAGGTAATGGGAAATGCACCGATTTTAAGCACACTTATGTCACACTTATGTTTTCAAAAGATTATACCCTAAGCAACCAGAAGAGAGGACTAGAGACAAGAGACTGGAGGCAAGAAGACTGGGGAGAGGCTAGCAAGTGTTCAAGAATAGAAGTGACAAGGACCTCCAATAAGGTGGCCACAGTCGGGATGAGGTGCTGGAAATAAAACGGAAGCAATCTACGGTTGCACATTAGAATCGCCTGGGGAAGTTTTCAAACTCCTGCCGCCGAGGTCTCACCCCAGACCAACGAAGTGAGAATTACTGGGTAATTCCAAGGCACCCCCAGGCTTGGGAACTACTGTGGTGGAGGAATGTTGGAGTGGGTTCGAGGAAGAGGGAAGGTTCAGTTTTTGAACATGTTAGTTTAAGATGCCTCTGTCTAGCTAAACTTGAAATAGGCAGTAGAGTATGAAGTTCTAGAGTTTGGGATAACTGATATTAACTATAATCTACTGGATATTAACAAAATACTTATTGGCTACCTGCTATGTGTCAGGCACCTGAAAAAGTGCTTTCCATTTATTAACTTGGTAACCCCCCCAGTGATACATGCACCCCAATGTTTACAGCAGCATTATCAACAACGGCCAAATTATGGAAAGAGCCCACATGTCCATAGACTAATGAATGGCTAAGGAAGAGGAGGTATATGGTGGGTGGGGTGTGTGTGTGTGTGTGTGTGTGTGTGTGTGTGTGTGTGTGTGTTAGTCAGCCATAAAAAGGATGAAATCTTGCCATCTGCAACTATGTGGACAGAGCTAGAGTGGATTATGCTAAGTGAAATAAGTCTATCAGAGAAAGACAAATACCATACGATTCCATTCATATGTGGAATTTAAGAAACAAAACATGAACATAGGGGAAAAAACAAAGAGAGGCAAACCATAAAACAGACTCTTAACTATAGCGAACAAACTAGGGGTTGATAGAGGGAGGTGGGCCAGGCGATGGGTTAAAAGGGTACTGGGCATTAAGGAGGGCACTTGTGATAAGCACTGGGTGTTGTATGTAAGTGATGAATCACTAAATTTGACTCCTGAAACCAATATTACACTACATGTTAACTGGAATTTCAATTAAAACTTGAAATTAAAAATAACTATCTAAATAAAAATAACTCCCCAGTGACACAGTAAGGTTGGTTCTATTACCGTGTCTAGTTCACAAATGAGTGTTTTACGTCCATTACCCATATTCAACTCTCCCAACAATTCTATGAGGTTAGTTACTGTCATTATCCCTGTTTTACAAACAAAGAAATCAAAGTTCACAGATGTTAAATAACATACCTAAAGTCCCACAGTAAGTATCAGAGGAAAGATTTAAGCGAGATTGAACTTCAATGTTGTAGCTAAAGCCATAGGGAAGGTAATGTTGCCCAGAAGACATTCCGGGAAGGCAAGGAGGCCAAGCCAAAGACTTGGAGAATACCAATATTTAATGCAGAGGATGAAGAGCCCATAATGGATGGGAGGGAGAGAAGAGGAATAGGGAGATACAACAAAACAAACAGAAAACCCACGACAGTTCAGAGTTCCAAGGAGAAAGATTTAAGATTAGCACCAAGAAATAATCCACTGATACAGCTATGGGGAGGTGGCTGGAGAGACAGAACTGGAAACCAGAACTTGGTATGTGTGACTACTGAAAGTAAAGAAATTATAATGATTGTAGCCTATTCGTTTAAGAGGTCTGACTATTCAAAGGATTCTAGTAACTACAGGGATTGAAAAGTTATTTTTCTTTCCTTTGTAAAATGAGAGTAATTTAAGCACATCTGTATCCTAAGGGGAAAAAAGTGTCAAAAGGTTGAAGACTCAGAAGAGAGGATATTTGATAAACAAGTTTTTTGAAGAACCTGTAGCTCTGGATAGGAAGTAAACTTCTTTCCTTGATATGGGAAGAAAGGAGGCAAAGTGGTTAACATGGAGAAGTTTGGATATAAGGATAAAAAGTAGTTGTTTTGCCTGATATTTTTATCACGCCCATCATCTGCCTAGCAGAGAAGAGGCCATAATTTATTTTTACTGTATTTTATAAAAGTAGTGGCCTGCAACACATTGGATACACAATGAACCAAAAAGTGTAGGTTGAAAAACATTCTACTAGACCATGAAGGCTAGAGCATGCCAGAAAAGGCGAGGCAGGATTGTAGACAGGAAAAAAGTAAAGATAAACTAAGAATTATGAGTTATGCATAGTTTGCTTACAGCAGAAGGTTGCCAAAGTAGGATTTGGGACTTGAGATAAGGAGGTAAGAGTGATGTGAAAGAATTCACAGATCTCAAGGAAGCAAACCAGCAAAAGTTCAAGGAAGCAGGGAGAAGGGCCAGAGATCAGGCAGAGAACGGCAAGGAGAGCTGAGAGTGATTCCTCATCTGAATTTGCTGCAAACAGAAAAATTAGGTTCCAGTCCCAGTGAGTACACTCTTCATCTGGTTTTATTGGAGAGAACATCCTACCCAACCATAAGTGCGGGCCTGTGCAGATCGGATTAATCCCGGGCTGAGATCATCAGATTCAGGACAGAAATCCCTCCCCAACTGCAAATTTCTATCACCATGCAAAATTCTAGCATACATACCTTTTCAGCAACTGTGCGTATTTCAGTTCCAGTATATGTAAATTTGGAGTCACTCCTTTTGGGGATAAATTAGGGGGAAAAAAGGGAACTGAATTTTGGAATATAAAAAGATATTAAAGCAAAGTAACAAGATTTGCAGTTTTTGCAGTGAAACCTTAGCAGAAACAAAGGAAAAGTGGCAAAGTACATAATCTGTTCAGTGGCAAAGCGAAATTCCTAGAATATTGGGTATTAAGGAGGTGGGGTTGTGAAATACACACTCTGCTATGCTTTGAAATTTAAATAAACGTCACCCAAAGCTTTTGCCTCCTGGAGCACTCAAGTTTCTGGCCATCTGAGATCATTATAGAGCCCACCAGAGGGAAGCAGAAAGCCACTGACAGTTTAGATGAAGCAAGGAGTCAATAGGGGGAAATGTCTCTTAATATACTTATTATCTGCTGCAAAGAAAATTACCTGTATTTCGTTGTCATTTCAGGGGAGACAGAACATAAAACATATCAAGCCACAAAATGGAATGGAACAGTCATACAAAATTTTATGTGTAAAAGCTTTCATAGGTTCACTCATGATCTTGGTATCCCTACCCGTATTTTTTCCAGAAGGTCATACATATATCAAACTGAAAATTCTCCAAGTAGGAAGTAAGGTGGAAACCAACCTTCAGAGTTGGGGTGGAATTCAAAGTGTGTCCCTGAGGGAGCTCCGGATTCGTAATGGTAACTTAAAATAGAAGTTGTACACAATACTGCCAAACTTGTCATCATTTTGAGTTAACAGTAAGATATAGATCAAAAGATATGAGTAAAGAAATATATTCTTACCTTGTGTCATCATTCAACTAGAGTGGAAAAAAGCAGAAAACATTATTGATCACATTACGCCAGTCTGATGTACACGGATGGAGATTATATGAAACTTGGGTCATGTGTTCCTGTATACCAGCACGAAAGGCTGGAGAATTCTTACTTCGGATTATAAACAACTAAGGTATGTCTCCTCATCGTCTTTCGCCCCTCTGCAACACTTAACCCCGTGGAAACCTTTGCGTCTTTGGAACCCTCTTCCCTGTCCGGTTTTCTGATATCCTTAGAAGGCGTCCCAGGAAGAAGACTGGAGGCGAGGCCAGGGACCCTAACCGTGGTTGGCTGCTTCCCAATACATTCATTATAGTATTATACTTCATTATATTATATTATATTTCATTATACTACAGTGTCTTTGCGGCCTGACTCGCGGTTTTGGTCAATGGGGTAATCACTTGATCTAGAGAAACTGCAAGGCCCACCCAGAGGATTATGCAGATCGCTGTGGCGTTGCAGGAGGCTCAACGCGAGTTCAGCGACAGAAGACACGAGGCCTGCACTACCTGATCATCCCAAGTCTCGGTCCAAGGGTGTCGGTCAGAGGTTCCCCTAGCCTCCGCAGCCCTGGGCGCTGCCAACACCCACCCCCGGGACACGCTGCGACTGCTCAGCAGGGTTCCGGTCAGGCTAAGTGACCTACTCACCTCCCCTATACACAGCCCCATCACCTCCTCCTTCTCGGTGCTCAGAGCGTGGTTGAGGCAAACTAGGAAAGCATCCGACTCGAGATGAACCGCTTGCACGGCTTGTACCACCTGCACCGCCATCTTGGTCCGACCCTGCTCACGTCCGCCTCGGGCCCAATCCGGGCCTGGCCAACCGGGTACTCCGGAGCGCGGGTTCCGCGGGGGCGGGGCCTGGGGAGCGCGGGCGGGGCGGGACGGGGCGGGACGGGGCGGGACGGGGCGGGGCGGGGCGGGGCGGGGCGGGG